AGGCGCATCTGCGAGGCGTTGTAGCGTAACGAATCTCAAAAGGCTACTACTGCTGCTTGATGCCAAAAATAAAGCGTGAAATGAAAGCGTGGCAAAAGTCAAAGAATTGTTAGTGCACACACCCTGGGAAATCTATTTAAGACTTCAATTTTCCTAGTTTCTCAGCAGTAGGATTTATTTAGTTGTGTTCTCAAATGCAAAAAATGTAATTTGTGCTTAGTTTAATTTTTTGGGAACAAAGAATATTATCCAGTTATGGCCAATGACTATTTTTAGAATGTTTTAGCATTTATATTAAAATATTAAATTATGTTAACGGAACATGAAAAATTGTATGATTACTTCTTAATAAACGGACTTTGTACTTCAAAGAATTTATAAACACTTGTGTCTGCTGTAAGCTTTCCAAAGAAGATTTGTTTTACACAAATTTATAATTTCTAGTTTTCTACATGTTTAGTAAAGAACGCAAATTGAACGTCAAATTAATTAAAGAACAAAACAGATTTCATTGTCTTTTCAAATTTATGAACTTGTAATCCTCTTTAAAATTACAACTTAAGATTTACGAAAAGAAAACTTATTCCATCAAAGTATACCAGTTGGCAAAAAGACCTAAAGTAAATAATGGCCGAAAATTTAAGCAGGGTAAATACATAACTTTCCTCAATTGGATTAAAATTTACACAATTTGATTTTAAGTTGGGAAAATTGATTGGATGAAATTGCACAGCTTGGAATTCATTTTGGCAGAAATGTATGCCTGAATAAGTGATTAGTAAATTAGATGTGTTGCATTTAAATGCAGGACCACCTGCAATCACGAATGCAAAGTGAATTGAAATGCATATGGATTAATAAACTCGGTTAAGGCGACCAAAGGCGGTAAATAATTAAAGTAAATTGGATATTTGGCTATCAAAAGAAAAAATCTTCTTTCTGCTTGTCAAAATCTAAACGATATTTTTTTTTTATTAATTCACGGCACACGCAGAGAGAAGTATTTTCCTCACATTTTTTGGTCCTGGCTGTGGCCCCCGAAACATATTCAACTTTGACTTTTAACCTCCCTTTCCGCAAAACGCCCCCTTTGTGCAGAGAGCCTTGCTTCATTGACTCAACTTGATTAGTTGTTGCGACAGTTGTCGTTGTACCGAACAGAGTATATAGTCCCGAACATTTTGTACAAAATAATTACAGAGCATGAAATTGAATTGAATGAAATGCCATTTCATGGAATTACCCGGAAAACTTTTTGCCTTCCTCCTCTGGCTCGTAAAGTTTTCTTTTTTCACCAATCTCTTTCTATATTTATTTTGTAAGCTCGTATGCGAGTAAGCACACAGGACAATTTCAACCTTTTTTCATCGTTTTTCCACAGTTCGTAAAAACATTAATTAAATGCTCAGTCACTGGCATTAAACTGAGCAAACTATGAACAGAGGAGGAACATTGAATCAGTTAAAAATTTCATGTAGAGTACAAATATAAAATATATGGGGCACATTAAGTTTGGGGGTAAAAATCATTTATGAAAACAGTTTGCAACAAACGAAAAAATTAAAAAAAAAGAAGGACGAGATAACGAAAAAAAAAATCAAACCAAAATGGTTTATGTTAAATTTGCTGGAAAACTCAAACACACTGGTGGCGGGAGGAGGGTCAAAAGCAAATTGCAAATGATGAAACTTTGCCCATCATAAACGCCATTTTATGTTATCCAATATGGCGTCGCTTTCTGCCCTTTTTTCCTCTGCCATAAAATTTTCACTTTTTAGTTTCGGGGCCGAAAAGTTTTTGCCCTGTCGAGGGTCGAGCGGACCAAAAGACAGAGAGCTTGGCTAATCGCACATATTTCCACATCAATAACAATTACCAAAAGGACCAAGGACCAAACAAAAACTCATCTCATTTGGTATGCAAGAGTACGAAATATTTTCTGAAAAGATTTTCCACACAATTTGCCGCGGGACTTAAAAATTCCGGGCTTAAAGCAGCGCACTTAACCTCGTCGCCAGCCACAATTTGGGTTAGTTGCAAATGTATGTCAGTTGCTAATTAGCCGCACTTCACTGGACCCCGGCGCATATAGAAATAATAATGCATATTCATAGGCGCGCCTTCTATGTGACGATGTCACGCATACGCCACGTGAAACGCCACCACTCAAAAGTCCTTGAAACAGGCAGCAGCAGCAACAGCAAAAGCCGCTGCAACCGTCAAAGCAACAACTGCAACACGCAGCTCATAAGTGCCTTTCCACGCGGTGGGCGTGTCGATCTGCCCACTTAGCACGACATCAGAAAAATGCAATGCATTAAATGCAGGTACTGCTGCCAAAGATCGGATAAGTAGGTTGAAAGTGATCCCTAAGTGTAGAAATTGCCTGCGAATTTTAGAATTTGCATACGACAAAACTGGTTAAAGATTATTTAAAGTAATTTAAAAATAAACACCAATATGTAAAATGTTTACAAACAATTAATTTGAGCGTTTTATTAGATTTTGATTTATTTATAATGGAAATATTTGTTCAATTAGTAAATCATAACTCTTTTACTATTTTAAAATGTTTTTGAAAATTGTCGATTTTTTTATTAAATAACTAGCAAATAAAAGGGCACTGCAATTTCCTGTCATTAAATGTAGCTATTTCCCTGAGCATGCTAAGCAATCTCCAAGTAATTAATTTAAAAGTAGAACGAGAGGAAAATGAAATTGCAGCTACAAAATATGTGAAGAAATCACACATTTTAACTGGAGGATCCTCCCTGACTTAAGTTCGCTTTGCTTGCCCTTTTTTCGGATTTGGTATTGTGTCGGCAGGGCATTTTGCCAATTCATTTTCACTTCGAGTAAAATTAATTAGAAATCAACAAAATGAACAGAAAACGAAAAAGCGCCCAGCTCAGACAGTGCCTTACATAAATCTCGTTTGCCTGAGCCCTAAAAGCATAAGAAAAAAAGGAAAACACAAGAGGGAGCCAAAAAAAAGGAAGGAACTCAAAAAAAAAAAATAAATAGAAATAATAAGAGAAAAACATTTTTCACTCTTGGAAATGGACAATGAGGGAAGACCAAGTTCCTCGCCCCCTCTAAACAACAATGAAAATGAATGAATAATATGAAAAGATTTTTCAGTTGCATTTTTTCCCGTTGCCAAACTTATCCATGCTTTCTTTAGACTTTTCGTTCTTCAATTATTTGTAATTGAAAACATTTTTGTGGTTTTATGAGTGCTCAAACAACCCTCGCAAAGCCCCTGACCATATACACAGGCTAATAATCATTATTATTTCAGATTTATTTGCGGTCATTGGGCTTGATTCTTGTTGTAACTCGCCTGTGTTTGTTGTAATTATTGAAAATGCGCTGGCCCAGGAAGTTTTCCACTTTTCTACCCTCTTGAGCCAATGATTTGCCCATTTGCTTGTGGGCATTTTTAATGAAATTTTCCTTGTTCAACACACGAACAATGAGTGTCATTATCATTCCAATTCGTCAGTCAGTCAGTTAGTCAAATATTTGTATAATTTGTCTTTATTGTCATTGACATTAGGCACATTTGTTGCCCCGATTATCTGGGCATTCTTTAAGTGGACAAACAGCTGACGCTGCTAATGGCAACGGGCGAAGGAGGGGGCATTGAAGTGGGTCTGTGGTTTCGGTGGTGGGTGGTGGGTGTTGTTGGGGCGCCCGCCTCAGATTTCTGTTATTTAGCTCAAGATTACGTCTTCAGTTTCCGCCTCTGTTTGCGCGAGAGTCATGTAATTTGTATTGCAAAGCTGAAAAATGTATGCAAATTATTCTTTCATTCTGTTTTATTTCCCTTGAGGAGAAGGAGCTTTTTATTTCGAAAGAATTAATGGTCAACACACTAAAAAGAACTAAGGTGAAGTCCTATATATACCCATATACTTCGAATCTGAAATCTCTACTGATTTTGAGCCCCTTGACTAAAAATATGTTCCTATAAAGTGTATAAAACTAGAATTATTCATTTTTACTGTTTGAAGAGATTTAAAATTAATAAGATGCACAAAGCAAAACCCTTTTTAGAATAATAATAACAATCAAATATACATACGCAAAAACATTCGAAGAAAAATAAAAAAATTTTGAATCATAAAAAGGCAAACAATATCCAACCAAAAAGCCATTCCGTTTGAGTGCACAGCTCCGGCGCAAAAGCCATTTTCCTTACATACTTCTTCAACCTGAACAAAATCATTTGATTTTCGGATTACCCCAACAAAGCCCCTTAAACATTCTTTTCATTTTGCAAATATCAGCAGTATACATTTTTTTGAGTATAACAATATTCCAGTCTACAGCTACGGATAATAAATGATAATGAGAAACCGCCCGGTACGCGACACGCAGCCAGGAACAGGATAATCAACAGACAAGATAAGCAAATTGACGGCGGCTACGGAGCATTGAGGAGGCTAACAACCAGAAGATACCAGCTAAGGCCCACATCCCCAAACTGCGTAATTATTTCAATATTTAATGACTGTAAAAATCAAAAGATGCCTATGCAAATGACACACTTACAAAAAAAATAATTTGAGCTTAATTTTTCCAAATAAATAAAAATTCAAACACATTTTAGGCCATAAAAGAAAACATTAAAAAATAATGTTGCAATAACAACCAATGGTATATAAAATTTTGTTTTATAATTTTATTAAAAAAAGGATTTTATTTATTAACAAGTATTTAACCTTTATTTGATTTTTTTTATATATAAAAAAAAAATCGGTAACTTTCTGTATAGCCTTCTTTCTTGTATTAATTGGTAAAACTTATTTTTTCAAGACCAATTAAAAAAATATTTATCAGTGCCAACATATGTTATATCCAAGGTAAGATATATCGGAGAACGCTTTTGAAAAACAGTGTTAAAATATAGTCTATCATTGAAAGAAAGCTTAAGTTTTCAGTCAATTGATTTTAGCAAGTGCTAATAGCTTTTACATCTCAAGGAGGACACTCACCACGGGCACAGGTATTACGCAGTAGACGCAGGGATGCCCACCAACAGCAGCGGCGGCGGTGGCGGTCGGCAGTCCGTAGGCGGCGCACAGATGGTGATCCGTCTTAAATATCTTTGTTGGCGGCGGCTGGGCAATCAGCGACGAGGAGGCGCTGGAGCACGTGTACAGCGTCGTGGTGGTGCTGGTATTGCTGCTGTTGCCGGTGGTGTTGCTGCCGCTGCTGCTGTTGTTGCTGTTGCCGCTGTAGATGTTGCTGCTTTGGCAGTTATCGCTGCTACTGCTGCTGTTACTGCTGCTGCTGCTTGTCCTGCTTGTGGCTTTGCTGGCCTGGCTGGCTCCTGATGTTGCAGCTGTTGCTGCGATTGCTGTTGTCCCGGCAACACTTGTTGTTGCTGCTGTTGCTGTTTCCTGCGGTAGTGGTGGAGGTGGCGGCGGCGGTGGTGGTGGTGCTACTGCTGTTTGCTGTTGACTCAAGGAGCTGGCCTTGGGATGTTTAGCGCCTGATGTTGCTCCTCTGAGTGTTGCTCCTGCCGCCGCTGCTGCTGCTGCAGTTGTTGCTGTTACTGTTGCTGCTACTGCTGGTGCTTGCCCAACTGTTGCCACCAATTGGCTTACAGCTGCTGCCTCAAAATCGCCGGACTGCTGCTCCTGTTGTGGGTCCTGTTGGCTGAAATTGGCTAGCTTCGATGTTGCTGCGGGCAATGGCGAGGTTTTTCTCTTGATTGACGCAATTTTAATGGCTATTGGTGAGCAGGTTGATTGTAAATTGATGTCGAGGGCTTGCGTTCGCGTTCTCCCTTTTTATTTGCCTTTGTCTGCGACTGTCTGAGCCTTGTCTGCCTTTGTGTCTGCCTGGCTTAGTTTTCTTATTGATTTTTATTTAGAACATTGACTAGTTAGTAATGCGATTTTTATATTGGCTAAACACTGAACACTTATTAATGTGGAAATTTAATTTATTTATTTTCTTATTTTGCAGTTACTTAAGCACACACATCAATAGACACAATTTTTGGGTTTTTTTTTTATTCAAGCTAAGCTTTTTTTCAACTAAAGTTTCGTATTTTATTTTATTTAAGGGCAATTTGCTAAATCTTTTTCACTCACAATTAAGCTAGTTTTTTAATGTTTTATTTTTATGCTAGAGTCACAAATTTAATTTGGTTTTTTATTTTTATTTTATTGTCTCTATTTATCGCTTAGAGTTTTTATATATTTTATTAAAATAATACTGTATATATTTTCCTTTGGTGTCCACTTTAAAGTTTTCTTTAACATTTACTTTATATTTTTGCTTTGAGAGTTTTTAACCCTTTTTAGTTGTTTGTTTTCTGTTTTTAATTAAAGTTCTTAGTTTACTAAGATTCGTAGGAATTTGATCGCTGACAATTGTTGCGCTGAGAGACTGGAATCTTTGGACTACTTTGAGTAGTGAGTTCTTGAGCAGAATATTTTGTGTAAACTTCTAGATTTTTACGCTTTGTAAATAATACTGAACTTCACTTGCACTTGCACTTCCCGATTCTCTCAGTGGCTAATATGTATAAATATATTTGTAAATCATGGACAGAATGAACTGACTTCGACGCAGATTACGTATACGCACGGGAAATTGAAATATAAATATATATATTTAATGCTGAATTTAGCGGTATGGCTTTTAAAAACTTTCTCGAAAACACAAAATGGCGAGCTTGCACTGTGGAAAGGATGTTTGCAGGACTCCTCGGGCTCCTCGCTTGGCTATTTAAATAGGATTGGTTTGGGCTTGAATTTGATTTTCGTTTTGGATTTCGATTCGATTCGGTTTTGGCTTCAGACTTGGCTGGTTGTCTCAGGCAATCTCTGTGTGCTTGGGGCTCTGTGGTCGCTTTCCGCTTTTGTGGTGCGCAAAATGAGGAAAAGGCGTTTGTAACTGAACTTGACAATCGTCGAATGGATTCTGAATTTCTCATTGAGTAAGGTTTTGAGTAAAGGTCTCAGCTTCGCAATTCGTTTCGGCTTTGGAGCTTCGGTTTCGCACTTCGTGGAATCGCATGCACTGGGAGCCGGCAAAATTGTTTTCCAGCAACAGGATCCACAAGCCGACGCAGGCGCAGGACTCAAAGGCGTTTCGTGTGCCATTCAGCGCTGCATCGAAGCATCTTGTTTTTTGGAGGCGGAGAGTGCCGTATCCCCATTCGTCTGGTCAGCAACTTCAATTGAAATGCATCCCAGCCTATGCGGTCGCAATTACCGTAACAACTTTCTGCCTGCTCGCAATTGTCAACATTGAATTTAATCACAAATTACTACGTGACCAAGCACACAAAACTTCTGATAAGAAATATAAATATTTTGTTGAGCGTTTTTTTTAGCGCATACAACTCAAATACTGAAAGTTTTCGAGACACTCCGAACAATTTTTCGTTTAGCAAACTCGCATAGAAATAGCCTAATCAAAAATTATACGTGGGCAAAGGCCAAGGAAATACAAGTTATTTAGGTAAACGCAAATAAAGCAGCAAATCAAAGGAGCTTAAATTATATTTCCTTTCTGGTTATTTTTCTGAAGTATTTAATTTCCCTATTATTGAAGAGACTGTAAGAAATAAAACTAATAGGAAAAATAGTTTTGGTAGAGATATTTGGTTTTCTGGGCAACTGGCGTATCAAAAAGATCATTTCCAAAGACAGTTAATGAAAAACGGATCCTTAAAAAATTTAGTTGAGGGAAAATAAATCCAACGATGGAAACTGATGATTTTTTCAATGCACCTGCTTTTTTACAAATACAGAGAACACCTCAGAACTGTGTTCTGTCACTGATATATTAATATATAGTATCGGTTACAAAAATTTGTTTAAGCTGATTAAATTATACAAAAGGTTTGAATAAAAAAGGTCTTTCGTATTTTCTTAAAACAAAATTGCAAAATTCAATTTCAATGTTTTGAACTTTCGCTTGCAGTAGCGATGAAAACATGAATTTAATAGTTATTATTTTTCTTTTATTTAACAGTTTTCTTAACTGAAAACTTCCTAAAATGTAATATACCCAACTCGTTATAAACTCGACTTGAATAATCTTTACCCACAAAAAACTCTCGCCCATTTTCATCACAAAGTGCGGTTCAAAGTAATTTTAAATATATCTTCTCTTAACTCCATAGACTTCAGCAACTTGCCCATTTCCACTTTTATTTATTTACTTTCCTTTCTTCATTTTTCTGTGTAGGACACAAAATGCGAAATATAATTTTCATTCCAACCACAATAACTGACGTCGACTGTGGCGCTGACTAAGCGCGACTGTTTACAATTTTTGCAGTATTTTCCTCACTTATTCCCCACCCTCAACTTCTTTTTTCTGTATTTTTATTTTGATGTGGTCTGCCAGCATATTGTTGTTGTTGTTGTCGTGAGTTGAAAGCTGTTTAAATGAAAGAACGTTCCCGTGGAAAGCCAAAGCAACGCCTGTTGGCCATTAGAGGATTTCAAATAGATGATGCCTACAAAGCGAGCACACCTGGAGGGATTGCAGGGAGGGATTGGACTACCCAAAAACGCAGCAAACGAGCAATAGCAGGACCAGATTCTTGTACACCCCATCTCTCAGCATTATGCCGCAACAGTTTTGAATAGTTTATTATATGGAATACATATATAAACCATATACACCAAGAAAAACGTATGAGAAGGTCAGATCAGTGAATTTATAACTTAAGAGATAATTATTAAAAGCAAAAAAGTTAAAGAAACCAATCTACAAATATCTTAAATAAAAAAAGAAATCTGAAGGGTTTTACTGAGTTTTTGAAAGATCGAAATAAGTAGCAATAGTTGAATATCGATTTTATTTTGAAATAAAATTAAAAACTACTTTCTAACTCTATTTACTCTTCAGTTAGGACCTCTTTTTTTAATTACTTTGACTGTACAAAATTGTAGAAATCTTTATTTCTGTGCACCCATATACACGCAGGCAAACCGAATTTCGTCAGTTGAGGAAGGACGAATGGCTCTACTTACAAATGTTGCCTTTGTGTGACTACCATTTCATGATATACATTTTTTTCTATTTGTGTGTGTGTTGTTGGTGCTTAGAAAGCAAATGCATAAATTATAATGGAAATTTCACAATGCACAAGCCCATACCAGCTAAAAATGTGTAATACCATTGAAATTAGCAAAAAGGAAATCCAGCTAAAATAGTCCTTTCTTCAGAGCCCTTTGTGAGTGGGTGTATGTGAATAATGATTTATCAGGTATGAGGATAATGGGGCACTATTGCCTCGATTCTCTCATCGAGATTGGGCGGCTGCACTGCAACTGTCAGCAAATTGATGGCGAAAATGGTTAAAAGAAATCCGTATCATTGCCAGGCCATGGCAGCCGCATCAGCGGGAGCAATTTTCCACTCAAATGCGTACTCTCCGCCAGTCCCGTTCTAACCATTTTTCCCTGATTTTGCCCCATTTTCCTCCCGCATTTCCTGGATTCAAAAGGCTCTGCGTATGACACATGTCGATTGCAGTGGAGCCCTCTATCGCCCGCAAGCCAAAAATGGCGCCTTCTATGTGGAAAGAAGCATCAGAATCAGAAATCATCAGCCTGAGTCCGATTTGAATGAGCGATTGAGTGAGTGACTGTGTGACTGACTGGCTGACTGACTGCCGGGAGTGCGAGCAAGTAAGCCGTTTGATTGCCTGATTGATGCATGGAGCAATTGATTGATTGATGCCGTTGTTGGTCCTTGAATGCTTATATGTTTGGCCAACAATTTTTGTGCAAGGCTGCTACAAACTGGTTTAGAGTTGTTATGAGGTTATTAGGCCTATCAAAACTATGTCGCTTGCATTGAAGTCATTGGAAGGCTAAGTAAATTAATAAATATGTTTTATATTATAATAAAATTTTGAAGTCTTTTGCAAAAATAATGTGGTTCTAAAAGTTCTGTTTAAAATGAATATATGCTAACAAGCTCATGACAAAAAAATTGGTTAAAATAAAATATTTTAAGCATTTGAATAAAAAAATTTAAAATAAAAATTTAAAAACCTTAAAAAGGTTGCTTGTCACATATTGAGTTACATTTTATTATATGTGCTTTTTAAAACATTCTGAGTCTAAAAACATATATTGACCCAAATCACTTGAAATTATCGCAAGCCAATAAATAATAATCTAAAATTATACGCCCTTAATATAGAAGTGACTTTGACTTACATTTGCATAGTTTTGGGATCGCGGAATCTGCGGCGGCAATTGCTGGGCGTTCACCAGTCCCCTCATGTTACCGCCTCCACCTCCTCCGCCACCCTGCTGCTGGTGGAGTGGACCGCCCATCTGTTGCTGCTGCTGAGGCGGCGGGGCCGGGCTGTACCTTGGATGCATGGCAAAAACGCGTATCTTTAACTGTTTCTACTTTTAGTTAGTAGCACTCTCTGACTCGCAACTGCAAAATAAAGTAAATATTAAGATATTACAGATAAGAAAAATTTACTCATGTCCGCGAGTATTACATAAAATCAGCTTAAAGCTCGGGTTTTAGGCGAATCGGCACAAAATGTTGGGCAGTTTTTTTTTTTGTTTTGGTAGCATTTTCGGTAGCCTGAATACCATTTAAGGCTTGGTTATTTTATATGGTGCGACTAAATCGACCCAAATAAAATAAAAAATCAGATATTTTTAGGGTTTAACAACGAAAATAAAATTTAATTTTATTGATACCGTTGTTAAAGAGCTGGAAATAGAAAAAAAAGGTAAAAAATAGGTTTTAAAAGTCTAAGAAATATCTTCTTTGAAATG